AATATTTAGCCGGGAACAATCGATACCGCGGAATGCGTGTCCGTGGTTCGCGGGATCGCTGCCTGCTATTGATTTCATGCTTGGCTTCATGTCACTAGATTTTTACCACGGATTTCTGTGTTCGGCAGCGGAAATGTCGTGACATCACTTCATCACTGTTCAGTATAAAATAAGTGGTTGTTACTGACTTCATTTGATTACTTAATCGTTATAAAAATATAGAAGTATAACGTGAAATATGATATCGTAATTGTTTATTTTTTTGTAGGCTTGAGGTTTCATATTAGGTGTTTTACGTTATGTATTTTTAATATCTTTGACTGATAAAAAGTAAGACCAAAGTTATCCACATTTGTGAGGAAAAAGCCACCATATTGTAAGAATAATTCCAAAGAGACATTGTTAAAGAAATTGATAAAGCTTATTGTATACAGAGTACGAGCGATAGACATGTGTAATTATACCATTTTATTAATCAGGTGATTGTGCAGCAATTACTGACAGTGCAAAACACACTAACACACTCTACTATTAATATCGATTATAGTTCTAATAGAGTTGTATTAATTACTCCCTCAAACGTACGAAGATTAGACGCAGCGAACATGTATGAAGGAGGTATATTGTAAATTTATTTTCGTCGCTTCTCACATTCTGTTAACTTATAAACGATTCTATACTGATCGTGATTGTACAAGAGACAACCTCTCTCTCTCTCTCTCCTTCTCTATTTTCGTAATGATGTGATACGACGGACAATGTAATAAACACAGTATCAACAGTACATGGACAGACGATTTCGTCAATCTCGTTGAGCAGCGTCTTTGGTGTAATTAATTGCCACAGGTCCTGCAAATCAACCTTTTTTCGACATTCACACTTATATCCCACTAATATTGTCAATCCCCAACCGCGATGGCGCAATTAGATTAGATTTTTGATACCAAGTGACGGAAAGAACAAGTCGTGCGCCTGTCAAGAACAGTTGCAGTGCCACTCAGAGCTTTAAATTGCAAAGATCTGCTACTGCGCCCATCACCCTGAGACATGAGTTGACAAGTCCCAAGTGCCAGCTTACCTTTGAAAATCGGAACGCAGTAATGCTCACAATGCTCACATTTCTGCTTGGCGCCAGAAATAGGTAAGTGGCAGTACTGCTCAGCGGACGAACTCTTTCACAAGGAGCCTACTGCTATTATAATTATAACATATGGTCTGGTATTCGGCCAGCGTTAAAAATATGTCATTAGAAAAATGTATAAATTATACAACTACTTAATCGACTTATCGGAGAAAATAATTTAAACAAACAAACACGTACGTCTTTCACTATTTATGTATGCACCAATGGAATGAGCTAATGGTTTTTCATAGTAATCCATAACCAAAGGTAAAAATATACATTGGATTAAACGCATACACTACACGATTTCAAGGGACACTAACTACAACTTTAGGGAGGTGTAACAAAAGTTAGAGATTTAGTGTCCCTAATTTGGGCAACTTGTATACATATGTATTTATCAGAGTGAGGAGCTAATTAGGGACTTCGCACACTCTTAAGGCAGGCCCCTTGACATCGAGTAGTATAATAAGCGTTTTAATCATAAAATACATTAAAAAGTGGAAAACGGAGCTGAATTAAGTCCAGTCTAAAAGTCACAGTTTTTGGTATTTATGAGCGTCCAAATGAATTCGAGGACATTGCGAGTTGTTTAAGGTATAATTACTTTTTAATTTATTTGAAGACGTACTTAAAAAACATCCTCATTTGAGATATATCCAACCCAAATTCTTGTTCTTAATGAGAACGGACTTTATTGTCATCTAATTAATTACTGGTTTATATTTCTTTATCGGGATGGGATTATGATTCATACGCCTCTCTTATCTACGATGGTTGTCTCCTTTTTTGTATAGTCAAATTAATCCGATACGCCTCATGTATCCCTAACAATCTTAGTTTTTTTAAATTTTATACATCTATACATTTTTTTGTAATTTCTTTTTTTTATAAATTTAAGAAAATGAAAACCCAGCTGCACGTTAGAGAGACGATGTGGCTTTAGGACGCTACAGTACCAAAGTCGTTAGGGACACCGTGTGTCTCTAGGACACGTGACGGAGTAATCAAAGGAAGTTTCGATCGTGGTATCTTTGTAACTACGAATTTGAAGGGCGCTCTCTTTGCAGGATTTGTTTGAATTGGATAACATTCCTTGTTGGTATATACATACATGTCAAAAGGGTCGCCAAATAAAATTGAATTTGTTATACAGTATTTTCCTTTTTTTGTTGTGTTGTTTCTGAGAATTTCAAAGGGTCTTGCGTCCTACTCAAGAGGGTATATTCTCTGTCGGTCACTACAATTTAGAGTCTAACATTGGCTTAACCTTTGCGAATGCAAATATAGAGGAATTGGAGGAAAATTTGGTTCTAGTTTCAATCATAGATTCACAATTAGAAGTTGATAAGTTTTTCATCACCGTATAAGGTGTACTTTTGTTTGATCCTCTATTTTCGTTGCGTGTAGTAAAAATAATTGATGTATAAAAAAAATGCGTTAACAGTTTACAAACTTACGTTATGTTACGCAATTCCCAAGGTAGCGACTTTTTGGAATCGTTTTTTCTCGTAAAGAACTTTAGAGATCAATAAAGCGTCGACTGGCTTTTGATTAAACAGTAATTGTAAAACGATTGCTTTTATTCATACTTATGAAGCGGGTGAAAGCCTATAAACTATTAGGCAACAAAAATAATTGTATAAGTGATATTAATACTTACATAATCGTGTATAATACTGGCTCTAGAAAATTTATAATCTTCCTTGACACTGTAAGTTGCGGTTTGTCATTTCGATACAAAGTTTCTGTTTATAAACTCTATAAAAATAGTTTTACGTGAGTTTCCAGACATGACGGTTTTTCCCTCATGGCAAACATACACGTCAAGACTGTCTGTTACAATTTGGATTTGAAAATGAAATTGACCAAAAAGAAAATCCATTGGTGTTAAAAAGAATTCACTAAAGAACTTAAATTTCAGTATTAGCAAAATTATATTTGCGAAATTTCTTAGTGAATTTAACAACAAAAGAGGTAGCAAAGCACCAACAGAAATATCATTCACAGTAATAGGTTTGTTAATCAATGTAACAATACATTCAGTTAAAAATAAAACATGCTTTATCACGTGATGAAACATATCACAAGTGTAATGAAACACTGTATGAAAACTCTTAGTGCGTTTTAATGGCATTTAATAGGGAGAAAATTTGATGCTCGTCATAATCTTGAGTATCTGGAGATTAACCGGAGGTGCTGGAGCCTGACGGGTTGCGTGCAGCTTGGACGTTGTCAAGACAAGTCAGTTTCTAACTATGTTAGTGCATGCTTCCGGATGAGGATCCAGACAACATTCACAGTAACAAATTTACAAATGTATCATAGGTTTAGAAATGTGCTATTCTTATCATAAATTATGGCAATCAAAAATTTTGCTACGGGCGTTGATGATTCTCCAGGTTAGCATTCCTGAACGCATAGGTTTATTGTTACCACGACAGTATAATCATTTCGCACAATAGTATAGTATGTTTTTTTCAGAATCGATGAAAACCGAATACTTACTACCCGTGAAAGATTATTAAAAATTATGTATATGTTAAAGTTTATTACAGACATCTAAACAATTTCCTACTTGTCAAACATATTTAAAAATAAAAGGGAAAAATAGTTTCATATTTTTTCATACTGTTTTGTTCAGAACTAGCTCACTAAAAGTTTGCCACAGATATATTTCAATTGTTTATCACAATTTTCTTACGACGATTGTATGGACGTGTAGAGATTCAAATTTTACGTTCAGCAATAGTATAATCTTGAATTTCACGTGTTTTGAGTTACAACATTATTGTAAGAGCAGTGCGAGTGTAAGCAACACTGCAGCTTCGATAGAATACGTATGATGTAAACTTTAGTGGGCGTAATAGTAAAGCAAAAGTTAATGTACATTTGTTATAAAGATTAATGTTGCGGTGGTGTAAAGTTGTTGAATATAGCGGAAGCAGCTAAAAAAGATATGCAACTTTGGCTAGTGTAGTATTAAAAGTACGCTAAGAGATTGTTACAAATATAATTAGTTTGTATATTTATTTTGGAGTGCGATTTCAATGCTCAAAAATAATTGAAGACCGTCGCGACATTTCTAACTTCTTGAAATTGTTAAATTACTTTGAAACGTTAATATTTATAATATTTTATGATATTAATTTCCGTTTGTTTAAAGTAAAGACACTCGAAAGTTCTACGAGAACAATAACAAAGAACTTAAAGTGTTGAATTAAAGTATATAAATTTAGTATACATAGAAATTTGCCGACGCCATGCTTCGAATATGCGTCATCAAGTTTCAGCAAACTAACGTCATTAACTAAATTGCTATGGCAGCTTGCTTATGATCTATCGCGACTTTTTTAATTTGACGCCACATTTTGCTTTAATCCGTATAACAATAAGCTATTTAATATTGAAATTGATTTTAAGGGCAAGTTTGTCTGAGTTTATGAATTACATCCGTTAGATTGTGAGTGATTGCCCGAGGCGTTTCTCTCCCCAAGTTCTTTATGTGTTGGTTGGTATACGAAGGGAGATCTTCTCAATATGCGAATTTTATTAGGGTCGCGAATCAATAGCCTTCATTCTGTAACCCCCTTAAATTTTATGGCCCCCATAAATATTATAGTGTTAAATAATGCGGTATGTGATTGAAAAAGCACGTTGTTTGGGCTACGTTAGTTGTCTGTTAAGTTTTTTTGACCTAATATTTGTAGAATACGACTCATAATTTCGTAAAGCATTATTTTATGTTGGAAGCGACATTTGAAACCAATACGTGAAGTTAGGAAGTATTTTTTAATAACGCTAGTTATACAGTAGCCAATAACTTTATGTGGAAATGAATAAGAAAAACGTAATCTACGTAGACAAGTTCAAATACCTTTGCTCGGCGTGGTGTTCGTCTGTTGAAGTTCGTAACACGAAATCACAAAATTTCAGTTTACTAAATTTCACTTCACAGAAATCACTGTATTCCAACAGCGAGCTCACTAAATAAGTAACTAGTTGGGTTAGTTTACTTGAGATATTGCCGGCAAGACACGTGGAGAGCCAACGACCGTCCGCTGGCAGCGACGCGAGGCGAGCGACTGCAGGCCCGTTGGTTGAGCTTGAGCACCCGCCGCCCCCGCGCACTGCAAGCCCCATAGGATCAGCTGATAATCCTTATCGCCTAACACCTATGCGCATATGTGCCATGAATCTGGCTTCGGTGTAATACATACTTATATGCATATGTACATGTGTAATTGAGGACAAGAGTAACCTTTACGTTCTTTAAATTCACAGTTCGTTGATCTCTAGCATGATGGTCTAAATATACATCATCTAGAACGTTGACAGTAAAAAAATTTTAAAATATAATTATAATTTTCGTTTTGAACTAGATAAAAATATTGGCAGAATAATTTAAGAACAACACATGTGCTCCAAATTCTAAAACAGCGGGGACGATACAAATGTAAAAAAAAATACACATCGGCAAGTATTCTCGTCATTATTAAAAAGAGCAATATGAAGAACGAGTATTCCCTTATGAATGAATGAGGAGTTTACACAAGAACTTCTGCTAAAAAGCGACAATACAACTTTTTCTATAGGTACCTCATGTGTTCTTTTTCTAATCATAGAGTACTTAAGATTGTTTGCAAAAATGTGTAAAAGATAGAGAAAACAAACAAAATATGGTTGATAAAAAGGTACCTAAATGTAAATGATAACTGCAAATATTAATTTCACTGTTAATTGAAACGGAAAGGAAATTGGATGTATGAAATTGGATGCTGAAGCAAAAGCAATTCGTAAGAATAGTCGAATTCCCAAGAATAGACGCTCTGATGCAGTGTAAGATCCATGAAATATACTAGAAATAACAACAGTAAATACAGGTATTTGGAACGGAGTTGTCTGAATTTCTTTGAATAGAACTCGTTAGCTTGAGAGTTATCAATGCGTCTTGAAACGTGACACTACGAATTTAAGGTATCTTCAGAAGACGTTTCTGTTTTCGTCATATACGAGCAATGTATTTACGTCAACAGACCAAGTTCGTTCATTTCAGAACATTCGTCATTTACAATATCATCAATCACTGACACACGTTCGAACCTGAAGCGGACAATCGCGGAAAAAATACGATGTCATCGTGGATTTTGTTCTATTTATCGGCGTTCAGGGTGAAGTGGACGTTTGATCTTCTATTATTGCCATGGTGTTGAGATACGCTCATGCAAATTTACGTGAAAATTCTTTTTAAAGAGAAATATGAGAAAATTAAAACACCGTAGCTTTTTCTGGTGATGTTCTTGGTTCAATTTTGCGAGATAATTAGGTAACTTAACCTCATGATGGATTTGGAAGCACGTTCAACTAGAGACTTTAGTTCAAAGTTTATAAACGAACATTTGAAGTTGGTCCGAAAGAAAGCCCTCGAATGTTTTTTTTTCGAAGTAATTTTCTTTTCTCATCGAGGACTTACAACTTCGCAAATTCAGGAACACGTCTGACGAAGAAATTTATAACAAGAAAAAGTTAAGTCGCCATTCAAGATGGGTCTAATATTAACACAAGTTTTGGCAAGGTATTTATTTATACATATTTTTCTTGTATTTTCGTGACAAAATTTTTTATCTTTCTTCTTATTTAATAGCTAGGCTCTTGTAGGTCGATTTATTTATTATATTATTGATGAAAATTTATTACGATACCTTAATTTTTTCCGCAAAAAATTAGGTTTAATTGAAACGACTGTACAGGTAATTTTGATTGCCTTAGATAAGCGAAATATACAGAAAGAACGAGAAGTAAATGAATAAACTTGATGAAACGTTTGAACAGCTCCTTAACTGAAAGTTGATTTATGCTGGTGTGTTACGAGAAGTATTTGAAAAGGAAGTGTGTCGGCGTCACGCGACATTGTGCGGCCATCCAAAGAAACGCTACAAAGTAACAGAAAAAGTCAAGACATATTAGAGATAGAAAGACGAGCCGCAAAAAAAGATTAATATGAACAATGAACATAAAAGTGATGGATTTAAGAATGGACGCAAGTTATTGTTGCGGATTGAATGACTTTTCTGTACTGTCGTGGACTAATTGTCCAGCGGAGTTATGAGCGGCGTATAAATAGTGTTTTATTTTAAATCCGTTAGATCTCACTATGGGTACCGACTGCTTCAACTTATAATGATGGGAAAGGTTGAAGGCAAAAGAGGTGCTGGTCGACGTAAAAAGTCGTGGTTACGTAATATAAGAGGTGGACCGGAGTCACATAGAAAAACTGTTTCGTTTGGCCATGGACAGGGACAAGTTTGCTATATTGACGGCCAACCAACCTCCAGTAGTGGAGAGGCATTTTAAGAAGATGAAAGATCTCATTATGAGAGGCAGAGATATGACTAACACGTCGATATTTATACGACGGAAAGTGAGACAAAACTTAAATAAACTCGAATACAAAACGTACACTGAAATGAATTTGGTATTAGACCCAAATTATTTTTTAACCAAGTGACGGGACGAAGAAGTCACGCGCCTGGCGGTAAGCGACACGCCTGTCCATAACAGTTGCAGTGCCACTCTGTGCTTTACAGATCACAAGGATCTAAGGGGCTCGGAGACATAAGATGACAAGTCTCATGTGCCTGTAACTTCAACAGCATCCTTACCATTCACAACCGCCACGCATTAATGCTCACATTACTGCTTGGCGGCAGAAATAGGTAGGAAACAGGGAAGTACTTTCCCTGGACTCTTTCACAAAGAGCTCTACTGCTAATGAAAATAAATAAATTTTCAAGGTACATTTTGTAATTGAGTTCATTTCTTAGAGAGCCGTTTAATAAGCTCAAGGTTAATTTAGATGAGCCTTCCATAAATTTACAGAGTTTAATAAAGACAAAGAAATACATTAGCTGGTGAAAAAAATTGTTGTTTTCCCTGACATAATTACTATGTTACATTATGAGAGTAATAGAGACAAAATAGACGAAATGGGAGGTAACGTACATTAAGCGAAACTTGCTGTGATTACTGAAAATAACAAACGGGTCTTGAAGGCGGCTTTGAAGTCAAATTACCGAGTGTCGGAGCTTTTCATTATCAACTTGGATATTTAGGGCAGAGAGCGCTAACAAGAGATAGGCTAGGCTGACGTAGACATTCCAGCTCAGAGTTTACTCACAAACTGCGAGATTAAAATAGTCACCTGTGTAGTAAAATTGCTTGATTGCTTTCAAATTCATTGAAATACCTACGTGTAGGAGATGGTAAAATATTCTTGCTGAAAATGATGAAACAACTAGTACAACCTACTTACGAAAAACAAGAAGTTAAAGCTGCGGATTTACCTGTAACAGATAAATTGTATGTCATTAGGAAACGAAACAGAAAAAGTTATTTTAAGAAATATACATTAACATTTACGAAGAAAGGTAAGAGCCTTTCTTGTTCACATTGTTGTTGGAATTTCAATGATGCAAGAATGGCAGTCGTTCACAGTTTTATTACACGGATGCAACAGGTCGTAAATGCTGCGGTCACAACTGAAATTACATCTCATTGTCTCCTTGGTACGTAATCTAATAGCGTTCGGCTAGAACAGGTCGCGGTAGGATGAAATTTGCCATGGAACTAGACCTTTGTACAGGTAAACCTCTGTCTAACGATGAAACAGCATTGCATGGAGATGGGTAGAACAAGTAACTGAGTTTGCTGATCAACTGAAGAGGAATTTATATATGATTTTAGTAGCAATACGAGCCTCCTAGTGAAAGAGTTCAGTAATGTAAGCATTCCGGTTCCTGCGTACCGGTATTGAAGGGTAAGGATGCTGGTGTAATTATAGGCATATGGGACTTGACAACTTCTGTCTCCATGCTCCTTAGATCTTTGTGATTGAAAGCACTGAGTGGCACTGCAACTGTTGGCGTGTCGCTTACCACTAAGCGCACGACTTATTCGTCCCTTCACTTGGTATCATAAAAAAACCCTATTATGAAATTTAAGTAACTAAATGGAAACAAAACATACTCTACATTTTGTTGACACAATAAAATAGTTCAGTTGTACCAGGGCTTTTTGTACGATTATACAATAAAGCCGCATCCAGTAACAATTGTCCCGTGTTGCTTGCTGCACTGCACATGTGCAACATATTGTCTACATACCGCAGACATGAAATCTGGCACTGCACTTGCGCAAACCCAGTGCAATAAGCTAGAGGTCATGTACCGGTATTTACGCATACTGTTGTATGCAATAAGTAATAATAAAAATCTCAAAAAGAATAACACTCTTTCCACATAACGTATATGATCAAAGCTATATGTTAATACTTTCAAAGTGAACACTTCGTTAACTGTAATGTAAGTACAATAATAACTGTATTTTAACCAACTTGTTGAGGTTGAATGAAATTGAATTTAGGATTTTGTGGAACTCAGAAACAGTTGAAACTGCTTACATTAAGCCAAGTTCACGTCATTCTAAATCTGCACACTCGACCCTTTCATGTAAGGCAGACGGACGAAATTCAGATGTTGAAATTAAGCAATATTTTGTTTAAAATTACTAATGACTATTACTGAATATGATCCGTCTACAAATATAAAAAAATATAGTTGTGAAATCTTCGTATATTCAATTAATTTAATTCTTAGTATATAAAACTGCACATAATCTCAGTACAGATTACTAAAAAAGCCCACCTCAAAACTGCGTGGAATTACATTTATATGCCAAGTTTTATTAAAATCGGTTACCGGAAAGTGCGCGAAACCGAATTCATCGCGTAGTTTGCCACCTTCGAAATGGAAAATTTTCTTCAAATTTAAATGGGACTAATACCGAGGTATCCTCTTTCCAATAAAAAAAGATTCATCAAAATCGATTTACAAATGCGTTATCGCGTAACGTACATACATACAAAAAAACTCTCTCCTATCGTTTTTTGAAGTCAGTTAAAAATAAACAACCGTACTTAAATCTCATATCTACATCTAACGCGCTAATTTTAATATAGAGCTATGTAAATATAAACATAAAAATTATTTCTTGAATAAAATCATGTTGAATATTTGAATTTT